GCGTTTCGCGACATGGGACGGAGCCTCCGAGCCGCCTGCACAGCTTAAGGATTCTGAAGCCGCTCTGCGATGGAAGAGGACCAGGAGCTAGAGAGGTAACGGCGGAAGAGAGCGGGGCGGACGGGCCACGCCGAGCCAGGGAGCGGGTGGCAGAGGCGCATGCGGCCGTTCCAGGCCGCAGCGGCCTTGCTCGGAGCCCGAGAGGAGGGGTGCGAGCGGGGCCTGTTTGGGAAGTGCGGGGAGGAGACGTGGACGTGTTTACCAGGTGATCCCCAAGTCCCAGTTGGAACCGCACCGTGTGAAGTCACAGTTTCTGAGCGCTGGTGCTGGTGTGGGGAGGCAGGCCTCACTCACACTCTTCTAGGGCTCTCCACCCTCAGTGCAGACTGCTCAGAAAGCGCTAAGCATTTTCTTCCTTCGGCTAAACTCATTTCACACTTTCCGCTTCCCACTTTCCTTACCTCTTTTGAATGGAAACCATAGTTGGGCCTGCACGTTGATTAATTGGTAGTCAGTTTTTATATTAAAGCTGTTCTTTTACGCCTTTCAGATCCCTTTCATCTTGCAGCAGGTCCCACCCTAGTCCTACCCTAATTGTATCCCATTCACGTGACTGTCTAAATAGTATTTTTTCATGCATTTAAGTTTGTGTTTTTCTAAGAAGATTTTTCTTGTGGGAAATGTGGGTGGTCAAGTGGAGTAAGGAGAAACTAGAGGCAGTAAGTTAAGTATTTATGGTTAAAAGATGTAGAGGCAGGACAATGAGAGGCCGACTGTTCCGTGTAACTGGGGTGGATCGATGTGTTGCAATTTCAGTATAGTAAATGGGGGGGGGGAAGCTAGTTACAAAACAATATTCAGTATGATCTCATTTTTATAAAAAATGTGTGTGTAGAAAAATATCTGGATTGAAGACCTCAATGGCTGAAGGCGAGAGGAAGACAGCCCTGGAAATGGTCCAGGCAGCTGGAACAGATAGACACTGTGTGACATTTGTATTGCACGAGGAGGACCATACCCTAGGAAATTCTCTGCGGTACATGATCATGAAGAATCCGGAAGTGGAATTTTGTGGTTACACTACGACCCATCCTTCAGAGAGCAAAATTAATTTGCGCATTCAGACTCGAGGTGCTCTTCCAGCTGTTGAGCCATTTCAGAGAGGCCTGAGTGAACTCATGAATGTCTGCCAACATGTGCTTGCCAAGTTTGAGGCCAGCATAAAGGACTATAAGGAGCAAAATGCAACCAGAAATGAATCTACATTTTAGTCCCTTATTCAGGATACAAGGAGGATCCTTTCAGATATTCTATTCATGATTGTGCAGACTTCAGAATTAGAAACGTTGATATGCTTTGTCCTTTAGCAAGGTGTGATATTAGCTATTGACTCATTACAGCTGTTTGAGTCCCAGCAAGAACTTGTATATTTGTCTAATAAATTCCCTGTTTTGCTTAAACTTTTTTGAGTGGTTTCTGTTCCTTGCAGCCAATTTTCAGTGATGCCCACCCCACTCAATTGAAAGTGAGGAAACTGCAATGAAATCGAATCAGTCATGGGAATTGAAAACATCTTTTCTGTCTGGTTGGGGTTGTAGAGAAAAGGAAAAGTGCACTGGAAAATAACCCAGTAGATTATAGTTGGTTGAAAAAGAAAATTGGGATGGGTACTTGGCCTGGTAGATTATTTAGTAATAAAAATGACTTCCTATGATTGGTTGATTTAAGTGTGGGAAATAATTTCTTTTTTCTTTTCTTTTTTTGTGGTCCCAGGACATTTAAATAGCCACTGAGCTATCTCCCTGGCCCAAAAATAATTTAAGAGAGCCATTTGAATTCAGGGTTTTCGGAGGTACTAGGCAGTATCAAGCTCCATCTTGATAGCATTTATAAGTATCAGTTTACTGCTTAAATTTCTAGACACAAATGAAATATTTAGTCATGACCTGAGTAAGCCAAGAAATTTTATTTTATAAGGAAAAAGCAAGGGAATCAGATAACATTTCTAGTCCTTAGGTGAGTGTCAAAGTATAACCACATAGAAGCACTATCTTTAAGAGAAAGGACAATGAGAAATATTCTAAGTGTAGAAATTACATTTTTGGAAGATTGAAATATTACTGAATCATATCTAAGAGCAATCCTACCTACCTTTCCAACCTAGTCCCACAACTATCTTATCCTACTGTGGCTTACCTGGCCTTAAACATAAACAACAGACCTCTGAATGAAGGCCCCTGAAGTTTGGGGCCTTTATTGATCCTATTCCCTCTTTCTGGTACAATTACAAATTAAAACAGTTTGGATACTTCCATGTGCTTTCATTACACTGTTTTCTGATCTATATAGTTACTATACTGTTGGTAGGACTTAAATGTTGTCCCTCCACTATATCATCTTGCTCAGTAGTGTGAACCAAATAATATAACAGCTGACAAGTATATGACACAGTAAATAAATTTGCATGTTTGTAGCATATTAGGCAGGGAGAAGAGCCTGACCTGTGGAATAATGTCGGTAGTTAAAGCAGTCACCCAAATTGACCTGTTCTAGCTTTCCACAAAGCCTACATTCTTATATGCATTTAACTTAAAAACATGAGGTAATCCTCGCTCTCATGGAGGGGGAACATTAAACCAGTTCTAATTCTCTGAAAGAACCAAGTACAGGGGCAAGATAGAAAACATGGGAGGAATCTGCTTTAGGCGCACAATTTAAGGAAGGTCTTTCCAGAGATTACAGAAGAAGTAAGCTGGACAGTACAGGGGGAAAATGCATTCTGGAGAGATAACATGCAAAAGTCCAGAAGCAGAAAACATGATTTGAAGAATTAAAAGTATTTTTAAAAAGATTTGCATGTTTGTAACATAGGAGGCAAGGAAGACTGACCTCGATGCAGTAGAAAGAGCTGAGGTGTTCAGGTGGCTTAACTGTATATACAGTGTAAGTGATGTATTACTTTGTAGGGGAGATGTGACTTAGGACATTCAGAGTAGAAACAAACCAGTTCAAGTGACATGGAAGAGTGATAAGCTAATTACAGGGAAAAGAGGGTGGATTTGAGGTATTTTAGAACTGTGTAAATTGAATTGATAAATGTGAGGAATTGTGTATTGAAGATGAGGCAATAGATAACGCCTACCTAAATTTGAGGCCCAGTTACTGAAATAAGAAAGTGTAAAGGGTAAAATAGAATGGAAGGTGGAAAAAGGTGATAAGAGTATTGTCAGTGTATATGTAAGGTGCAGGCTATGGAAGAGATCTAAGCTAGAGATGAACTTTTGTTGAGTCTTGCCATGAGATGATACAAATCCATAAAGTTGGTAAGTGGCAAAGAAGTAGGCTAATAAGTGCTGGACAACTTAAGTACTAAGAATAGGTAAGATGGTGGTAGGAAAGTTTTGAAAGAATAGATTTGTAAACTTTCAAAATGGGAAGAGTGATGCTGAATGAGTCATACAAGCACCAAAAAATAGCTGGAGTGCCTAAGCATAAAAATTTTAACGTGCTTTATGCAGAGAAACATCTTGGGAGTATACCAATAAGAAGACACATAAGAACATTTTTTTTTTCAGTTAATCTGATAGCTATGCTTTTTTTTTTTTTTTTTTTTTTTTTTTTTTTTTGACACATAAGAACATTAAAAAAGTAGGTTTAGGTTGGAGCAGGGATAAGGAAACATGAAAGTCATGGGGCCAGGATGAAAAATATTCTCCAAGGGTGATGAAAATTCTGGAAAATAATAGTGTAGGGGCATTAGCACTGGAAGACGTAAGGAACCCCAGAAAGAGTGGAAAAGTATCAAAACCTGTTATCTGCTCTAACAGTTGCCTAGGTAGGAAAAGTAAACAAAGGGGCCGTGGAGATAGCTCAGTAGAATAAGCACTTGGCAAGCGCAGGGTCCTGAGTTCAATCCCCAGGCCCGCAAAAAAAAAAAAAGAATAGTAAACAGCACCATTTGGAGTTTAATTCTTCTGAACCAAGGCCTGTCAAAGAGATATAAACAAAGTTCAGTTAGTGGACATAAGGTGTAAGACAATGGTAGTACTGAAATAACAAGTAGCAGTCCGTGTGGGAAATGCACCTAATTGTGACCACCACCACATTTCATGGCATAATTGCACATAATTTATTGTCATTGATCATGGTTTGGTTTAGGGTGGCCGTAAATGATGCTTTTACAAAACACATACAGCAGGCAAATAGGTGAAAAGAAAAAGCTGAAGGCAGAGCAGGTAGGATAATGAAGAGTAGAAGGAACCATTGCATAAAGACTACAGACTAAAGGAAGGCTGAATTGGTATAAGGAAAGGCTAGGTAAGAGAAATGGATTTAAGTCAATTATTTATATAAGTTGAAAAGGGTCACATGATTAGTGTCTGATTTGTTCCCTAATAGTGTGTAACTCAAACCATGCAGTATTAATGATTCAGGATCAGAAATACTAGTCAGCTGTAAAGTACTATGCCTTTTAAAAAGTCAATTATTAAATAATATGATTACATACCAAAAGCTTTTAATATATAATAACTCCGAGCACTTGCTACTGTTTTCTATTTTCAAAAGTGCTTTACAAACTGGTTATTTTTAAATTGTGTATATCTAACATCTAAGTGCTATAATCACAATACCTCAGAGGATCATGCAGAATCTTTATAGAGATTAAAAGATAACTACATAAAGTGATACGTTTAGTGTTGACTCTGTGTGCAGCATTTCAAGAAATATAAAAGCATATAAAGTTTCATAGCCCACAGTTCACCCTTTTCATTTTCTTAAGCATGTTAAGAAGATTATAATCTGCTATAAACTGGCGAAATAGCTCTAGATTAAAGCGCCTGGTTGCCAGAGGTTCGATCCCTGGGGCCTGCCATGCCGGCCCCGCCCCTGGGGCACGCTGAAAGGACAATTGAGACTGGGTGTGGTGGTGCGCGCCTATAATCCCAGCTCTTGGGGCTGTAAACAGGTGGATCACTATGAGTCCAATCTAGTAGACCCTGAACACCATCTCTCCATCCCCATCTAGTAGTGTAGACCCTTCCCTAAAATACTAATGGTAATCTCTACTATATACTTTTTTAGTTAGCATAATTTAGACTTAGATCTTTTTTTAATACCCTTCAAACTGAGCTCCCAGAAAATTTGCCCAAATCTAACAGTATACTTTCAGTATGCCTATGAATATGTCAGATCTAGCCCTCTTCTGCTCAAATTCTGAATGTTGATTTTTCTTTTGCTAAACTTTAACTGTCCTACTACAGTACCCATTTTTTCAGTAATTAAATTCTTCCCAATTCTAGGTTATGCAACCTCAAATTGTTTATATACTAACATCATAGTCCTGAGAAATAGTGAAAGTAAGAGACTATGAATCTGTCCTAAAATCTTGGAGGTTGGGACAGGACAAATGAGTTGTATGCATGAAAAGATAAATTGTATCTACAGTGAAATATCCCAATATGCATGTGAGTAGAATGAAAATACAGGAGAAATATTAGAGGAGTGGTTGTCACATAAGCACTCTCACTGATGATAGCTACTGTCCTTGGTGTTGAGGAGAGCAAACAAGACAGGCATGGTCTGCTTTCCTGGGACTCAAGGTGTTCTAGTAAAAAAAGTACTCCAGGATAAATGGATTTCCATAATGCAAAAGAGCTATTAAAGATATTTAAACTAGCAAATGCCATAAAGTTTTAGTTTTTCATCTCACACTTATGTGTGGAATGGTGGGTGGAAGGGAACTTTGGAAGACAACCGTGTGTTAGGTGTCATTTGTAATCATGCAAGAGTGATGTAAAGGCGTAGTTGCAGGAATGGAAATTAAAAATTAGATACAGAACATTGCTGAAACAGAAAGTAAGAGACAGATTCTATGTAGAAGTAAAGGTACTTCTACATAGACAAGGTTGAAAATGATTCCAGTGATATTTGGAGCCCCATATCCATCTTCATTTGCCCTTGGCTTTCTTGTTATTCCCTTACAATCAAAACCAGCAAGGCAGGATTTACCATCTTCTCTTCCCCAGCCTGAACTAATAAGGAGTCTTTAGATTCAACTATCCTTACTTACCTCCTTCTTCACCCTGTCAGAATAATTCCCATCTTTTACAGTGATGACAATGTGGAGGTACAGATGTGAAAATTGGGGATGGAGAGATGGTGCAGAAGGACTCTTGCTGTGGTTTGTTTTTCATAAAGTTGCTCTCTTCTAAAGAACATTTTATTCATTTGTTCTGTAAATATTATTGAGCAAATACCATACTACATGGAGGGATAGTATAAGGACCAGGGATACAGCAGGGAACAAGTTGGCCCTTACAGCTTAGTTTCTAAAGGCAGAGATAGAAAACAAACTAATGGGTAAAATATTCAGTGCACTTTCAGGAGGTGATATAAGCAGGGAGTAAACGAACAATGGCCAAGAGGAGAAGGCACTGAGATTGAGTAAAGTCTTTCTGCGAA